AATTAGTGGCACTTGTCAGCGTATCCACTGTTAGCGTAACACACCCGCTTTAAGGACACTGACTGCTATTCAATCTATAACAGTAAAAAAAGTTTTTTGTTTTTAAATCCAAGCTATTGTGACACCAGATCTAATTAGTGGCACTTGTCAGTATATCCACTGTTAGCGTAACACACCCGCTTTAAGGACACTGACTGCTATTCAATCTATAACAGTGAAAAAAGATTATTTTTTTAAATCAAACTATTGTGACACCAGATCTAATTAGTGGCACTGGTCACCGTATCCACTGTTAGCGTAACTCACCCAGCTTTAAGGACACTGACTGCTATTCAATCTATAACAGTGAAAAAAGTTTTTTGTTTTTAAATCCAAGCTATTGTGACACCAGTCTAGTGGTGGCACTGGTCACCGTATCCACTGTTAGCGTAACACACCCGGTTTAAGGACACTGACTGCTATTCAATCTATAACAGTGAAAAAAGTTTTTTGTTTTTAAATCCAAGCTATTGTGACACCAGATGTAATTGGTGGCACTGACTGGGGAAATGGGCACAGTATGCACTGTGAGCCTGACACAGAAGCTGGCAGCAGTGGCAGACAACTGACTGCTATTCAATCTATAACAGTGAAAAAAGTTTTTTGTTTTTAAATCCAAGCTATTGTGACACCAGATGTAATTGGTGGCACTGACTGGGGAAATGGGCACAGTATGCACTGTGAGCCTGACACAGAAGCTGGCAGCAGTGGCAGACAACTGACTGCTATTCAATCTATAACAGTGAAAAAAGTTTTTTGTTTTTAAATCCAAGCTATTGTGACACCAGATGTAATTGGTGGCACTGACTGGGGAAATGGGCACTGTGAGCCTGACACAGAAGCTGGCAGCAGTGGCAGACAACTAAGTGCATTTACATTAGATAAAAAAAAAAAATCCAAAAAAAGCATACCCTTATCCCTAACCTAGCTATGCTTTTCCCTATCTTATGAACAGCAGCTACACTTTCCCTCCTCTTACTAAGCATGCAGCTTGAGAATGAATCTAAAATGGATGCTGTCCAGTAGGTGGGAGGGTCTGCTAGGGAGGCTGTGCTGCTAATTGGCTGGAATGTGTCTGCTGACTGTGAGGTACAGGGTCAAAGTTTACTCAATGATGACGAATAGGGGGCGGGTCGAACCGCGCATATGTTCGCCCGCCGTGGCGAACGCGAACATGCTATGTTCGCCAGGAACCGTTCGCCGGCGAACCGTTCGGTACATCACTACCCAGAAGCTTAATTGAAGCTTAATTGACAATTACTGGGTGGTCGCGGTTACACCTAGCCGCCACACGATGGCGGTGTTATGGAAGCTCCCCGGGTAGCCAGCGCTTGTTCCACCCAGCGGCAGGACACCAAAAGCAGACACTTTTTTCTTCCAAGCCCCGCTGAGGCTGGAAGTCTGCAAACCCGTTCGGGAACCGAACAACGGAGCATTCAGGACTTTTAGTGTTGCAATGTATTCGGTGTGAAAGTACCCAGATAGCCTGCCATGGAGCCTGTTTGTGGAATTAAAGACTTTGGCTCCATGGCGATTAAACTGTATTCATGTGGTCTGAGCGCCATTCGCTTAATAATGTGCGCTCAGACCTGACCTATCTGGGGATATGTTTTTTTTAAATTCTTTGTTTGTAGGTTTTCGCCTGAGATCAGGAGGGAGGGGAATGGGGTACAGAAAATAAAAAGGGGGGTGGGTGGGTGTGGTTCAAGACATAACAGTACTTTTAAGGTAAGTGTCGGTACCAACGCAGGGTACTGTTGCACATTGGAGGTAGCGTACATTTGTATCAACATTGTAGCTTCATTTAACACTTGTTTAATTTCCCTGTTATTTTTGCATTCTTAAGTGGTGGGTTTTGTCGCTCCTCGAATCTTTGTGTGTCCTGTCTCGCTATGCGTAGGTGTGGAACTGTCCAAGTCAAGTTGCGGGTTAGGGTAAGGGTTGTGGAACAGGGCGGTGTGGGCATGGGGGGGTAGGTGTCGCGGTCCGCGAGCCACCCCGCGCGTGGACCCCTCTTGGGGGTCATAGGTTGGTGTTTGGGTCGATGTAGGCAGGTGAGGTATGTACTTGTTTGAAGGTGTGTGTGGTGTCATCCATTAGGGGGTCTATATGCTAGGAGGGCGGTTACTATCCTGTCGTGCTACCACGGGATGGTTGTGTCTCCCTCCAGCCATGGGTCCCATATTTTGTGGAACTTTTTGGGCGAGTCATGTAGTTGTGCTGTGAGCTTATCCATTTGCATGCCATCTATTATCTTCTTGGTAATTGTTTCTTGTGTCGGTATGCGGTTTGTTGACCAGACTTCTGCTATGGCTCTACGTGTTGCTAGGGCTATGCGGGCAGATAGCTTATTTTTGGCTCTATTGGCTTGGAGAGTAGGAGCATCCAAGGGTCTGAGGGACAAGGTTTGTCTATGAGTTTAGAGATTAGTCGTGTGGTGTCTTGCCAAAGTGGTTGGAGCTTCGGGCACGTCCACCAACAGTGGAGGAATGTTCCCGTCTCTCCGCATTGTTTCCAGCAGGTTGGTATTTGGTGCATGATGGCCAGACGTTGGGGGGTGAGGTACCAGCGAAATAGCATTTTATAGGCTTGCTCAGTGTGTGCGACGCAGATGGAGATGGAGGCCGTTGCCTCCCAGATGTCTGACCAGTCTGTTGCTTCGTCTGGGGGCCCGAGGTCTGCCTCCCATGCCGCAATGTTTGGGAGAGACAGTTGTGTGTGGTGGGTCGCCAAGGTTGCATATATGTCTGAAATTTGTCCTTGTCTGTTGGGGTGCATAGTGCAGTCTCTTTCAAAGCGACTGAGTTGAGCCGTGCCGGCTTGTTTTATGATTGAGGTCGCTGCGAAGCTGCGCAATTGTATGTATCGGAAGTGATCGAATGATGTGAGTGAAGATGAGTCTTTGATATCTGTGAATTTTATGATGTCGTCGTCTTGGTATAAATGCCCTAGACGGGAAATGTCTCTGTGTTCAAAGTGGGCGAAATGTTTGGGGGTGAGTCCCGGTGGGAACAGCTTGTTCCTCCAAATGGGGGTCATGGGAGATAGGAACGATGATAGTTCGAATTTGTCCCTCATTTTGTCCCATGTATCGAGCGCATGGGTGATTGAGGGTGTGGTGGGAGGGGGTAGGGGTCTGTGTGGTTTGGGTACCCACATGTACAGGGACGGGTGGTCCCGACCGAAGATAATGTGTTCCAAGTCCACCCATCTTTTTTCCCCTGCTGGGACGTGCCAATGTTGTATCTGCGTTAAGTGTGCTGCCGTGTGGTAGTGTGTGAAGTGTGGGAGTCCCAGTCCCCCATGTTTCTTGGGTATGTATAGTGTGTTTCGGTATACTCTGGGTTTGTGTCCATTCCAAATAAATGTGTCTATGGCTGATTGCAGTGCCTTGAAGTCTTGTTTACGGATCGGTATAGGAATGATAGAGGTATAGGAATCTGGGAAGTAAATTCATTTTAATTGTGGCGATGCGCCCCAGCCATGAAACTCCTAGGGGTCTCCATTTGATGAGGTCTAAGTGGGCCTTTCATAGCAGGGGAGTGTAGTTTGTTTCGTATAGGGTAGTGACGTCCGTTGGGAGTTGGATCCCGAGGTATGTCATCGTTGTGTGGCAAATCCTCATTGGGCATATTTGTTTGACTATGGCTAAGCTTGGGGGGTCTATTTGTATCGGGAGGAGTTCCGATTTAGTCAGGTTGATCTTGTACCCCGACAAGTCCGAGTATTTTTGGATGATAGTTAGGAGGGAGTTTATGGATCTTTCTGGTCTTGTTAGGGTTAACAGGATGTCGTCTGCGTAAGCTGAGATTTTAAAGGTTACTCCTCTGGTCGTTAGCCCCTCTATCTCCCGGCTGGTGCGCACCGCTTGTAGTAAAGGTTCCAGTGATATGGCGAATAGCAGGGGGGACAAAGGGCATCCCTGTCTCGTGCCATTTGAGATGGGGAATCGTGGTGTGGGGATATTGGGTAGCAAGAGTGCGCCCTGGGGGGAGTGGTAAATGGCGCATAGGAATGAGGTGAATTCGGGTGGCATCCCTATGTGTGTTAGCGTGTGGTGAAGGAACGGCCAAAGCAGGCGATCAAACGCTTTTTCCGCGTCTAGAGAGATGAACGCTGTTGGGATCCTTCTACGATTAGCCAGCCAGATGAGGTCTATGGCTCTCTGGGTATTGTCTGCTGCCTGTCTGTGGAATGAATCCCACTTGATCTGGGTGTATGAGGGATTTTAGGTATGGGTTTAGGCGGTTGGCCATGATTTTGGTCATGATTTTAAGATCCACATTGAGGAGGGAGATTGGCCTGTAGTGTGCGGGTTCCGAATGGTCTTTTCCCGGTTTGGGGAGGAGGCAGATGTTCGCCCCAGTCATTTCTGGTGGAAGATTCTCCCCCTTGAGTGCTGCGTTAAAGACCGTGCATAGGTGCGTGAGGAGCAGTGGGCCAAACTCCTTATAGTATAGGGCTGTGTATCCATCCGGCCCTGGGCTTTTATTTGGTTTGAGGGGTCCCACTGCCAGCACCATTTCTTCTATCATGACCTCTTGGCTTAGTACCGCTTGGGCCTCTTGGGTGTTGCATCTTTTAGGAATGTTTCTATGCGCGCGGACAGTGTTGGTCTGGTGTCTTGGGATCGGTGGTCATGGTTATAGAGGTCCGTGTAATAGTCCTGGAAGATTTTGCCTATGCTAGCTGGGCAGTCAGTAAGGGTACCATTGTTTGTGCGTATTGATGTGATTCGTTTAGCCTCGGTACGTTTTTTAAGTCTGCGTGCGAGCATGGTATCAGCTTTGTTACCCTTTTCATAGTATTTTTGTTTGAGCCACATCAGGACTTTGGCTGTGTCTGCTTGAGTGAGGGTTTTAAGGAGGTTTCTAGCTGCTGTGAGTTTGGTCAGGGTGGTCGGGTTTGGGTCCTTTTTGTGTTCGGTCTCTAGACGGCGGAGTTCCGTCATTGTTTCAAGTATTTGTCGCTGTGCTTGTTTTTTTTTTGTGGGTGGCTAGGCTGATGAATGTGCCTCTGAGCGGCCCATAGGGTCATGAGTGAGGTGGTTGTGGGCGAGTTTAGTTCGAAGTAGTCTTTGATTGCCGTAGCTATCTTGTCTCTGATCAGTTTATCGTGAAGGAGTTTTGGGTTCAGTCGCCATGACCAGTGTGTGTGGATGGTTGACAGGTGTAGGGTGATTGCTATTTCGGCATGGTCGGACCAAGAGATTGGTCCGATCTCTGATTTGGTGATTTGGGGCACCAAGTTTGGGGATACGAGGAAATGGACGATGCGCGAGTAGGTCCCGTGTGGATGGGAACAGAAGGTGTAGTCTTTGGTGGTAGGGTGTTGTGCCCTCCAGATGTCTAGCAGTTTTTGTGAGGCTAGAAATTGGGCGAAGAGGGCGTCATTTTGGTATGGACGTGTTCGTGTGGTAGCGAGTGAAGTCCTGTCAATGGCAGGAGTGTGTGCTGCGTTACAATCCCCGCCTACTATAAGTCGTGTGGTTGAGTAAGTATTAAGGTGGGTTGCTAGTTGTTGCCAGAATGAAGTATCTGGTGTCGTGGGTGCGTATATCGATGAGAAGGCATATTGTGTTGTGCCTATTTTTCCCTTTAACGTGACGTATCTGCCCTGTGGGTCTTTAAAGCAGGTAATGTCTGTGAGGCGGCTATTTGCTTTCAGGAGGATTGCTACGCCTTTAGTTTTGGTGTCTGGGGTGTGTAGTATCTATTTGTGAGTGGGAATACGCGGTGGATTGTGAAGTGGGATCTTGTATGAGGATTATGTCAGCTTGTTGTTTATGTGCCCAGCGGAGAATGCTGTGTCTTTTGTTGGGGGAGTTAAGTCCTTTGGCATTGATAGAGATGCAGCGTATGGATGTTGGCATGGTGCGCGGCGGTGGGTTAACCGGGGTTGCGCGTCCGGGTAGCCGCGGACCACGAGGGGGGAGGGGAGGGCGGGGAGGCTGGGTAGAGGGGGTAGGGAAGTTAGTCGGGGAAGGTAGTGAGGGGGTAGGGGAGGAAGTGTGCTACTGGGCTTATCCAAGGGCCAGTAGGTTGTGGGGCGAAGCGTAAAACCGCTCCGTGGGTTTCCCTGAGAGTTTGGGTGGGTTTGTGTCAGGGGTTGGCGACTGTCCGGTCAGAGTCGTCCATAGGCAGTTTTCAGTAGTTATCCGAGGTTCTACATATTCTATGGGTAGTCATCGTCTTATTGTTGGTATTTCTGTGGGATATGTTCATTGTGTATCATGTCGTGTGATGGTAAGGTCATACCTTGTGGTCTCGTGAGTTGTCAGTCTGGCTTTCTGGTGGGTCCAGTTGCGGTTTAGTGGTAAGGGGGTTCTGTCATCGTCCAGTCTTGTGTTGTCGGTAGAATACCGTTTGCTGTATGCGGCTTCCGTTAGCCTGTGAGATGGGGTGTGTCTTGTGGCTGAAAACCAAACATCCGCAGTTTTACATTGTATCACAACAGCTTAACTTCAACCTTAACCTGGTCACATTTATTCCTTCAACTTTGGTGTCTTAACGTTAGAGGTTCTTGGGCCTTCCCTTAGGGAGTCCCTCTGTGGTGCTTTGAGTGGTTCCTTGGGTAGAGAGCCAGCGGGAGGGGGGCAGATTGTTATAGTGGTTCTGCAGTCCCCCGGTACCTTACAGGCCCAGCCTGTCTGTTAGTATGGTTTGAGGTGTCCCCTTCCCTAAGCAGGCCTGCCGATCTCATCGGTTAACTCCCTGCCTGCATTGTTCCCCAGGGGGGGTGTGTGTTCAGGACTACGCTTGTCAGGGTCCATTCATTTCCTAGGGTATGCTGTTTGTACGATGTCTCTCCGAGGCCAGTAGTGTTGTCATCTAACCTTTAAGCGAGGGGTGACTGCTTTTCCACTCAACCCTGGTGCAGGTGGCTCAGGGGCCTTATGTAGGCCAGGTGCCTTACTGTAGGGTCAGGTGGGAGAGCATGTGGCTCAGGGGGGCCCCAGTTGGTCTTGATTGTATCCCTGGGCATTGTCTGTGGTTGGGTAAGCACCACGTTTATCGTCGGGGGCTGGGGGGGCATGCCAGGTTACCCATCTATCCCTGGGTGATTCCGTCCGTGGTTGTCAGTACGGTTTGGTGTGCCCTTGTGTCGGTGGAACCTGAGGTTGGTTTCCGTCCCCTGTCCGTATGTTCAGTGGATTGCGGTTGTATTGTGCTTTAGCTGAGTTATGAGCATCCACTGAGGTGTGTTGCTCAACCGTCTCGCAGTCGGGCTTGTTTTTTAGTATTTACCCTATCCACCCCGTTTTTTTGTGACCAGACCCGTTTTCCTGTTTGGGGTAGAGTGGGTCAGACATGGTAGCAGGTGTCTGGGGCCACAGCCTCTGCGGCCCGCAGGGGGCCGTTATTAACATAGGCAAGGCCTGTCCCCGTGTCACTTGCTATGGTAGCTAGGATGCGTATGTGGTGTGCAGGTTCGGGGTAACCCTTGTGATTTGCACCGAGTGCGGTACCGTCCCCCGTGTATAGTGGCTTACACCGAATGGTGTACTGGTTCCTGCCATCTGTGTTCCTGCCATTTGTGGGTAGTCTGTGCTGATTCGTTTGTCGGTCTTCTGTTGGTGTGTAGGGTGGTGGGTGGTCGTCGTGTCGTTCAGTTTTCGGCCCTGGGGCGCGGACTGTTGGGTATCTGGCATATACTGGCAGGCGGTGGTGCATTCCTGGATGGAGGGCCTCTTTCGTTTCTTCTGGGAGTTGGGTCAGTGGTGAGGATTGTAGGGTCAAGGCCGAGACTCTCAGCAAAGTCGGACATTTCAGCGGTGCTATGTAGGGTGTAAGTGCGGTTGTTCTTCCGTACTTGCAGCTTGAATGGGTGCCCCCATGAGTAGCGGATGTGTTGCCTTGCGAGTTCCTGTGTGAGGGGCCGTAGCTCCCTTCTCTTTCTTAAAGTGCTCGGGGCCAGGTCCTGATAGAAGGAGACTTGGTGTCCTTCTATTTACAGTTGGGTGTTTCGGGCCGCTTGCATGAGTGCCTCCTTAATATGGAAGTGCACTTTTATGATGACGTCCCTGGGTTGGGTGGAATTGGGCAGGGGTGTTTGCAGAGCCCTGTGCGCTCTGTCCAGCAGGAGTTCCGCCGGTGAGGCCTCTGGAAGTAGGCCGCAAAAGAGCTCTCGCAGTGTTGGGCCCAGTGCATCCATGTCAACCATTTTAGGTACCCCGCGTATCCTAATGTTATTGCGGCGGGACCGATTGTTAAGGTCCTCCTGGGCCTCTTCCAGTTGACGGACCTGGTCTTGGAGGGAGGCTATAGCATTTTCATTTACTGTTGTGCGCGTAGCTGTCCGGTCTAGCTGTTCCTCTATGGCTGTAGTTCTGTGTGTCAGATCAATTAGGCCCTCTTTAATGGGTGTGAGGTTTTTGTCGAATTCCGCCGTCATATTAGCTTTAATTTCGTGTAGTAAGTGTTGGAGGTCGTCTTTTTTGTTTAGGTGTGTAGAGGTGGTCGCTCGGCTTGTGTCGCTGGCGACTGAGTCTGAGTCATAGCCGTGGCCGTCTTCAGCGCGCATGGCGCCGCCATCTTTGCGGTTCCGAAAAATCGGCGCTACCTCCGCGAACTGCTTCGATTTTCGTCCGCCTCCCATTGCAGCTCGGGTGAGTACCGTGGGGAGCAGCTGGGGTGACCAAGTGGGGGTGAATTAAGCGGTTACGGGTGCTGATATTTGCCGGTTCTTTGCCTCTGTGGACGGAGCTCTCTCAGAAAGCCGCCATTCGCGCCGGAAGTCAGGCGCTGCCCCCTGGGGATATGTTAAATGTATTTTTAATTGTAATTTTTGTCACATAGTGTATTTTAATAGTAATTCCTATTCTAGTATCCCCACGTGCATAATGGCGATTTGCCTTTGTCCTGGGAGATAATTGAATTACTTCTCAATTATCTCCAGGGCAGAGGGGAGGAAGCCAGGATGCATTGTGGGAATATAATGTGACTGTGTGTCCTGGATTGCTGCTTGTCTGTCCTTTGTTTCAGTCTCCCATTTGGTCCCCTAGGGGAGTGTCCACCAGGTGGGAGACCTGCATAAATACTGGGCAGGTAGCCCTCATTAAACAGACCACTGCTTGACCGTCAACATGGAGCCTTGTCTCGTCTTTGGGGGGATTTACTGAATGCTGATAGAGACTGATTGCTAGGAGTGTAAGCCGCTTGGGTGCTTTTCCTATTCGTCTGCTAGAAGCTATTCGTATGGTTCCAGTTCGGGAGTTTGGAGTGCTATATTGTATGCAGTTCGGGAGATTGGAGCATTCCCTTATTGGCGGTTCGGGAGTTTGGTGTTCTACAGTAGCTGTGCCTGCATCTCTGGAAGGGGAAGATCGCCTAAACGGTTTTAACCCCTTGTGTGCTGAAACAGTCCGTTACACCTCTCTAAGGTATCAATATCCTTCTGAAGATACGGTCTCCAGTACTGTGTACAATACTCCAAGTGAGGTCTCACCAGTGTTCTGTACAATGGCATGAGCACTTCCCTCTTTCTACTGCTAATACCTCTCCCTATACAACCAAGCATTCTGCTAGCATTTCCTGCTGCTCTATTACATTGTCTGCCTACCTTTAAGTCATCAGAAATAATCACCCCTAAATCCCTTTCCTCATATGTTGAGGTTAGGACTCTATCAAATATTCTGTACTCTGCCCTTGGGTTTTTACGTCCAAGATGCATTATCTTGCACTTATCCACATTAAATGTCAGTTGCCACAATTCCGACCATTTTTCTAGTTTACCTAAATCATTTGCCATTTGGCTTATCCCTCCTGGAACATCAACCCTGTTACATATCTTAGTATCATCAGCAAAAAGATGGTTGAATTTCTCTCGGACTGGTAGCCACAGTGCCTCCTCACGAGGGCATGTCAGTGCTTAGATTTCCTCCATGATGGAGGGAGTCTCTGAGTCCCTTGCACTCCTGTTGGTAGTTCGATGCCCCAGCTGCGAAGGGTCTTTGCTCCGTCGTCCAGGGTTTGGAGGGTGATTGTCTTCCCATTCCTTTGCACCACCAGCTTCACTGGGTAGCCCCATCTGTATGGCAGGTGTTGTTGGCGGAGGTGTGTGGTGATGTTGGAGAATTCCTTCCATCGTTTGAGCGTATATGCAGAGATGTCCGCGTATATGGAGATGGCTTGGTAGGTCATTGGCATATCTTCTTTGTTGTGTGTTCTGTTTGCCCTCATTATTTCCTCCTTTATGTGGAAATAATGCATGCGGATCAGTACGTCCCTTGGTGTCTCCGTTGGCAAGAAGGCGGGTTTTGGAACCCTATGGGCCCGGTCCATAAGGAGCATATCGTGCGGCACGTCTGGGGCGAGGGTCTTGAACAGTCCTGTGAGGTAGACCATGAGGTCTGCCGGGCCTATATTTTAAGCAATGCCTCTCATACGGAGGTTGTTACGTCTACCTCTGTCCTCCATATCTGCTATTTTCCCCTCCTGTGCCGCTAGTCTGTCTTTAAAGCTGTCTAGCATTGTCGCCATACTGTTATGGGCCTCTTCGTGTTCAGCCATTTTTTCTTCGATCACGGATGTTCTGTCGCCCAATTCTCTGATATCTGAGCGGAGGCTTTCCAAGGAGGTCTGGAATGCTAGCTGTAGCTTGTCCGCCATCGTGTCTAGCAGGGTTTGGAGGATCCCTTGTGTGACCGGTAGCTCAGCGGCCGCCGGCTCTTGGGGTATGTGTGAATCTTCCCCTCCGCCATCTTGGCTTTCCTTGTGGTGAGTCTGGCCTTGTGTGTGGCTCAATTTTAGCCCGAAAAAGTTGTTGTCTCCTCTCTCCGTCTGGCGACGTTGTTTGGGTTGAGACATGTCTGGTTAGTTTATTTCTTTGTGTTGGGTCACTGTTTGTTGTATGATTTCGGCATTAGCAGCGCGGAACTAATGGGCACGGCCGCTCCCTCCCCCCCAAACAACCAATAGTTTACAGTCACACAGATAAATACTCCCATTCATTACAGTAAATTCCTCCCCTCTGCTTGGGAGATAATTGAGTTAATTGCTGTATCAACTCTATCTCTAAGCGAAAAATATACTTTTTAAACATTTTTCATAACTTCAAAATTGTACATCACATTACAATAATAATACATTTTCTGAACCAGCATAATTAGGGAACCAACATATCCAAAAATCATGTGAATTGGTCCAGTGGTTCGGGAGATAGCTGGAAGTCACATTTGACCGACCGCAAGCATGGCTTTCCTACCCAAAACAGTTCCACAGATTTGGGCTGTGCGGCCGGTCTATTCCCCATAGTCAAATACTGTTCAAATGCATGAACGGAGGCTGTTCGTGCAAATAAGCAATGTTAATGTGGCGTTCGTATAGACCAACACCGTTCGACTACTGTCGAAGCGTCTAAGTCACAGAGAAGGTAAAAGATCAGCGGTGTTCGTGCCGTTGCATATCCGATTTTAGTTCCATGAACGCGACGGCAAAACACTGCTGACCGCATTCGGCTAAATTAAAATGGCCGCTGCCACTTGTTCATATGCACGAACGGCGGTCCCTTGCATCCGAAGTGCCAAAGCAAAAGTGCAGAATTGTAGCAATACAATTTAAAGGGCCAGAAACAGTCTCCAAGGTACAATAGCCATAAATAGAGGCTTTTAAATGGAAATAACTCTCCGAGGACATTGTCACAAGGCAAAAGGCTGGCCAAGAACAAGTGGCGAAGGGCACTTCGTCACAGTATTAATGTCTCTTTTGGATATGATATTGGAAAACAAAGTTTGTTCATATCAAAGGACTCCTTATGTAAGAAGGATTCAAAACATCGCAAATGAGAGAGTTAGTTTATACTGAAACCAGGCTTCCACACCACTTATGGGTGACTTCTCACACCTTACAGAGTAGCTCTGCTGGGGTTACAGCTTCAAAGAGGAATTTAGGTTGTAAGCTCTGACCTCCCATACAATCAAATTAACCGCTTTTGAAATTGACAATACCACCTCTACCAGGCAGCCAGTTCATATATACACGAATATAACTTCCGTTTTACCGAACCGACCTGAGCGCTTTTTGGATATGTTGTGCGCTCAGATGGGAACTATTCGGGAATATAATTTTGTGGGGTTCTGATGCTGTTGTAATTTATTTTTGTGATATGTAAAAATTGTATGTTTTCCTTTTTGAGATATAATAGAATTATCTTAATTGGAGCTCAATTATCTCTGATGGAAGAACAGCAATAGACTCACGAACCCATGGCAATGCATAACCCACTAGCTAACTAGAACATAGCTACTAGCTCTGCTATTCAATGCTTGGATACTGAACTGCATATATATTAAAAAAAAATATTTAAAAATAATACCATGTCAGAACATACAGTACAAATTAATTTAATCCCCGTTGGTGCTGTACGTGTGAGATCCATAATGTTGTAGCATTAAATATAGCGTAACACCATTAGACCATTTTTTATGACAAACCTGTTGGTATAATTATGCAGGCTGTTGCAGTGTATTTCAATTCAGTAAAGCGGAGTTCAGTGTTATTGTTGTCATGTTTCTAGTACCAACCTATTCTATGGAGCTTTACAATTTTATTATGTGGATATAACAGCAAAGAAGAGAAACTATTAGGGGAACACTATAGGCACCCAGACCACATCAAAAGTGCTGAAATGGTCTGGGTGCCTATAGTGTCCCTGTTCCCTTATCCCCTTAAGAACGACGTTCCCGCCGTCCTATGTACTTACCCGCTCGCCGACGAGCGCACACCGACGACCGCGGTGAAAGGACTTACCTGGCATCCCAGAGAGTCCCCCTGCTGCCGTTCCGGTCCTCCTGGGTCATGTGGTGTAGCGCTATATTTAAATAGAAGGGTAGTGATAGAAAACTTGGTATATACCAATACTACCTTGAATATTCTTTATGTCTTTATATTCACATAAGAGTATAAATTCTACAAGACATAAAAAACAGACAAACCAAACATAGTGTAAACTGTATAATAAAGTCCGTTATAGAGAATTAGGAAGGGAAAATTTCCCACTCACAATTTTAGGAGCTAATATGAAATAGCTCAATATCTGCGCTCTTGGGGTCCGTAAAGGCGACCCTCACCACATCCAGCTGAGGAAGCCTGTAAGGCGAAACGCGTACTGGAGAGACTGTGAGACTTTGGACTTTTGGATTTTATGCCAATTTGATATTGTTTTTTATTGTTTTTTATATATATATTGTTTTTTATATATATATATTTTTATACATTATTATAAATGTACATTCAGTTAAACAAAAGCACTCACATGATCTTATACTATATGAATTTGTGTTTTATTATATGGCTATTAAAGTCACCACTGGTATAATAATAATTTCTGTGTTTCACTAAATTCCCGTCCATGATCACATAATTATGGGACACCTATTTTTTCACAGGGTAATCTTCTTAAAGGCACAGTTTGGCCACAATCACTGTATAAGTTACGATAAAATAATACACCTCCAGGCACCTTTATTTAACCCCACTGGGACTTATGCTATTGTACAGTCTCTCCCCTTTCCCTAAGGTATTAGTCTTCTACGCAACTAAGGTTGCTCCGCACATAGGTTAAGGCCTTACGGTCCTTTTCTCACCAGGCTCATTACA